GCTTTCGAATTGAAGAGCTGGGCGAGATGCCTGATGTGCCGCAAGCTCACAGTCGCCATGTGATGCGTTTGCGCAACAGCTGGTCAGCCAGTGCAGCGACACACAGTCGCTACCGCGTTCGCCTCCGGTCGCGCGCTACCTTGTTCGAACAGCACGGCACGCTCTTTACGCGAGAGAGACCGGAGAGATCGAGCGTGCCCATCGCGGTGGTGCGACAGGGGTTTTTCTTTGAGCTTCGCTTGGAGAAGGGCTTTAGTTGGAATTTAAAGGTAAAGACTAGCTCTTGTCGCCGATCCCGAAGAACTTAGGGAGCACATAGCGCCCATCACGATTAACGGAATGATTACAGCGCATTGTTCGAAAAGCGCTTTCACTCCGTTTCGGTTTACGTATGTCGGCATTTGAGTGCTGATTCTGCAGCGTGGAGATGCATTCACTACAGAGGTTACAGAAGTGTTGCGAACTCCACAATCTGCGCCCACGATCATGACACGTAGAGGGGACTTGTTGTTTCGAATGAGGAATGGCCAAAATTACAGTCGACTAACGTGAGCTGGAGCACCGCGCGCGTGTGAGATATACACGGTCTGATACGGATCTTTAAAAAGCATTCCGAACTTTCTACACCGCTTCGTCGGCACCGCCTCCGCCGTGCTGCTCTCATGGCGCCTTCGCATACTTCCATCCACCGCTGTGCTTGTCCAGCTCGCTCTCTACTCACACCTGTCTCCCCTTCGCCGTCAGAGCTATTGACGGAGGCCGCACAATCCACGTGTCGCGCTTTACCGTTACCTCCTGCCCGCGTCCTTGGTGCCTTCTCGATGAGCACAACACAGTATGATACTGTGGTGTGATCATCGAGAAGGCACCGTGCATATCTCACACGCGCGCGATTATCGCGATCGGCGGGATCTTTTTGTTCAATGGGGGGGGTGATGGGTGACGGCGCCCGCGAGAGGGTGGTGGGGTAATAGGAAGGGGAGCACTAGGCGCCTTGCGGTTCTGGTCGTCGCGCCGTAAATAGCCAGTATGCGCAGAAGACTACAGTAAGAATTTAGACTATATTTGGGAAAATTGTTAATCTTTTTACTCTGGAAAAGTCCTTTTAGAACCGACTGCTGTTATCCTTGAGTCCAAGAGTCGAGCATGGTCATTTCCTCTCACGCGGAAGTTGGGACATCTCTATTTAGAGTGGGAATACAAAACGTTCTACACATCAGAGGAATTGCTGAAAGTACACAATCACTTTTTCCATCTAGAATCAGGACGCCTATACGCAATGCTGAGGCGTGCTGACAATGGAGCACTTCTTCGTCTGATATCACTAAATTGGAGAAAATATCGTCGGAGTATGACGTTGCCAGAGAAACAGGGCCGCCCCGAGTAGGTTCTGGACCGTGCTTTCACCTGATGATGTTGTGTTCAACAGATGCCTTTGCATGGACATGATGTTTCTAGAAGGTAAGGCAGTACTGCATATGGTGGACAAGGAAACCAAATTCAGCGCTGCTGTCTTTCTCCAGCAGGAAACAGCTGATTAGCTGTGGAAAAACTACATGCAACAATGGGTCCTCCCATACATAGGTCACGCGCTGGAAATCCATGCAGACCAAGGGCCGCAATTTCGCTCTCGCAGATTTGCCTCATATACCGGCATGGCCGGGGTAAAGCCCCGCTTGTCTGGTGTTGAGGGCCACAACAGCCTAGGCGTCGTAGAAAGGTACCACCATTATCTTTGTCACATATTCCGCAAAGTACGCGATTCATTTGCAAACATATCAATGAAGGACGCATTAGGAATTGCCACGACAGCAATGAACGACACCGCAGGGCCAAAGGGAATGGTATCAAGCCTACTGGTCTTCAGAGTTATGCCTCGAACACTTCTTCCCGGCTCTGTACAGCTCCCTGGCCAAATAGAAAGAATGAGAGCAATGCAGGCGGCAAGGAAGGATATGTCAAAGGAAATCGCAAGCAGCCGTACTAGTACCGCTCTAAGGTCGCTTGTCCCTGCTGCCACAAATTACAACATCATAATCGGCAGCGAAGTGCTTGTTTTCAAGGAGAACCCACTGAATAAGTGGATCGGCCCATTTTGTGTACTTGACGTAAAGGACAAGACCGTTTTCGTCAATGCAGAAGGACATACAACGCAACTATCCATAGATAAGGTAAAACCGTACTTACGACCAACTCATGATGAAATTTCCGCTGCATCAAACCCGAATGAGTCCTCCCCAAACAATGGCGACGAACGCATGGGTCTGTCACCAGGTGAAGCATCGGACGCTTGGCTTGATTCTTTCAGAGATCCATTGCAAGACCTATTCTACACCCCACCAGGGGACAACGCAATTTCCTCCGATGATTTTTTATGGATATCGCCACATTCCTAACCGAGGTGGTTGACCCATCCGATCCCCGATCGAAAAGCGATGCGTTTAGATCAGCCATGAAGGACGAAGTGAAGGGGTTGGAACATCGTGGCGTTTGGGTAAAGATCCCATAGGCTAGACTACCTGAGGATGCAGATGTGCTCGGCGGTCGATTCGTACTCACTCTTAAAAAAGCTGGTACTGACCATGAGACTCACAAAGCGCGCTTTGTCGCTCAAGGTTTCTCGGATCGAGAAAAGGACTACATTATCCATAATGTCACATCATTAAGGCAACGCTCGGTTCGTATGATTGTGTCCTTCGCCGCCACAAGAGGGTATTCGCATTTTCAGTCATGATGTTACCCAAGCGTATACTCAAAGTGACGAATGTCTTACGCGTGAACTGTACCTTATGCCGAAACAGGCAGACGCTCCTTTGTTCTCTCTAAATGAAGACGAAATCTCGAAGCTGATAAGGCCAATCTACGGAACAACAGACGCTGGTGACTACTGGAATGTGACGGTAGACAAACACGCTAAAAGCGATTTAGGCATGGAACCACTCACTGGGGATTCTTCTTTGTATGTCAAGACAGTATCTGGGAAGGAAGAAGCTTCTGGCTTGATGGGAATGCTGGTAGATGACGGCTTGATTTGCGGTAATGAAAATTTTCAGAACCTTACCGAAGCTACTCTACAAAAGTTTGACTCTAGGCCAAGGCAGTGGGATAATGTCGACTTCTATGGCCTGAGAATTGAATCTAAACCAGAGACCGGTTTTCAGATCCTTCAGCCAGACCATATACAGAGAATCCAACCGTTGCCCGAAAAGGCAAATTATGACGACTTTCGTAGCGCTCGTGCAGCGTTGGCATGGATTACTCACACAAGACCAGACATTGCCTGTTACGCTAATAAGGCAGCACAGATGACTACTGCAGTTTTCGACAGACAGCATGTAGAGGCTTTCAACAGGTGTGTCAAATACCTAAAGAGAACACCACACCATCTGCGTTTCGACCCCCTAGACACTGCAACACTGCAGATTCGTGTCTATGCAGATGCAGCTTTCGGACCAATCTAGAATGTAGCTCGCAGCTTGGATATATCATTTTGCTGTGCGATGCGAGCAATGTTGCACATCATGGATTTTTCGAGCAAGAAATCGAGACGAGTGGTACGGTCAATAATGAGGGGAGAAATATTTGCTTTAGCAGACGGCTTCGACCGATCGTTTATGCTAAGGCATGATTTGGAGCGTATCTATGCCGAGAAAGTCCCATTGTACATCTTGAAGGACTCTAAGCAAGTATTTGATACCATTACAATGGCATCGACGACAACTAAGCGACGGCTTCTTATTGACATCGCTGCTGCACGTCAAGCATACAATCGCCAGGAAATATCGAACATTGGCCTTGTTTCGTCGGAAGATATGATCGCTGATGGGCTAACAAAGACCACTGCAGAATCATCACTTGCAGAATTGCTGAAGTCTGGCCGAAGTGAACTCAAAGTCAAGCAGTGGATTATTCGGAACTAAGCCATTGCTATGTCTAAATGACATACATTTGTTCCAATTATCATACGTCTATTACTATGACGCACAAACACAATATCTTGTTCTACTTTTGAAGAAACCTCAAGTGTGAAAATGGTACGAAAGTGATTGCCTCATGACAAGACATTTTATAGTTGGCGCGTGCAGTTTTTACGCACCGGATGAACAAGATATTTACTTCCTTCTCTGTAGTTCGTATATAAGTCCTCACTACGATTCCGAGTAGCGGGCGTCGTGAGGAGTGGGTAGAGGGAAGACACACACCGTACGTATCAAGTCGTTCACCGACTCTCGTACAGTAAAGAACTGTCGGTCGTCCGCAGTTTTCCCTCGAATTTCTCAATTTTGGTGGCAAATTCCACAGTGTCCCCCCTTTTTCCCCTCAGCGCCCGACACCCCCTCTCTTTTATTTCCACGCAATTCCTTCCAGAAGCGTCCACGCGTTCGGCCCGGATTCCGCCAGGCCGTCCCAGTGCGCTTCTCTAAAATTCAAATAAACTATCGGACTACAGTATAAAATCTCTCTCTACAGTAAAATGCAATTTTCCCTAAAAATATCTCACATGACCCCCTTGCCAGCGCAGCCCACGGGGCTGCCGCTTCACATGAATATACTGGCCCCGCTTCCTCGCGTGACTGCTCTGGCCCCCCTGGCCACCGTCTCTCCTCCTTGCCACTGAACCGCCTTCTTCTACGCGGTCCTCGCTCCACACTACTTCATCCGCTCCACCGCCGTCTTGCACCGACTCCGCTCGCATCGCTTCTTTCTCGCACCGCCTCCAGTACTTCAGCCTCAACTTCGGGCGGTGTGGTCTCCGCGACGCCCGAACTTCTGGTTGTTCACGTTCAGCGTCACCGTAGCCCCGAGTAGCGTGATCTCCGCGTCCCTCGGGCCCCCAGTCGCTAACGTTCAACGCCGTCTGAGCCTCAGGCTGCGTGGTCTCCGCGTCGCCTGAGCCTCCGTTTCTTGTTGTTCCCGTTTCGGCACTTCGTCGAAACGCGCCGCGTTCCGAGCCACGCACTGGAGGTCCGTGGTCCTTCGGGCGGTACTCTCTGTGCGACATGGCTCGGACCAGGCAGACGGCGAGGGCTTCCACTGGCGGGAAGGTCCCTCGTCGAGCGATCGCCAGCAAGGCGGCCCGTCGTTCGGCGGCAGTGTGGCGCGAGAACGGGTAGGACATCCGTGAAAGGGCGTCCCACCGCGTCAACCGCACGTTCATTGACTTCGAAGACGCAAGGCACGCTGAACACCTCCCAACCCTTTGGGAGCTCGCCGGATGCTCCGAAATATCCGCGCTTCGGTATCAGGTAGGAGATGGATACTTCCGCATTCGATACAAAGAGGTCGGAAATTGGGCATCCGTCGTGGCGGCCGTCTCTGCCGTCGGGGCTCAACTTCTCTTCGGGCCCCGCGTGCTAGCATTCGTCGCGGCTTGTCTGTCCCGGAAAGCTTGGTTCACATCTGACCAGTGCTTCCGGCTCGGGCTCACCGAAAGCCACGGCGACGAGACAGAGTACAACTGCTGCGACGACCCTGGTTGGGTCTTCGAGCTGGTTTGGTGCTCCGACGGCAGCAACAGCGAAACCCAGGGCTGCTATTGCGCCGTAGGGGAGGGGAGCCAGGATAAGTACTTTATCCTGCTCTACACGATGTCGTTCGATCGTGGGCCCTCCGCGAACGAGGACGTCCGCTGGGGCTTCAACTCTGCCTTCGGACGAGACTCCTCGACAGGTATGGACGCAATCCTGGCTATCGACAACTGATGTAGCCAGAATAGGGTCAAGAAGAAGCGCGTTAACTACGCCATGTCTCGCAACGTCTCTCCCATGGCTTCGAGGTATTTCACCAGGTCTCAGCCCGTACCGTTTCAAGACAACACCATCCTCTGTCTCCGCTCTGCCGTATGCAACGCCATCTCCCTGGTTGCTAGCCGGCGCGCTCCCAACTGCGTCTGGGCGGCGGAGTCAAAACGAGTCACCGAGTTCGGAAGCCGAAAAAACTATTCGCCGAGCGTTCATCACTTGACTCATGTCCAACGGACTGTTCAAGCTGATTACCACGGCACCGTATCATTGCATCACGTGAATCTACCGCCTAGGTCAACCGCTCATGGCAGGTCCAGTGCCAGATCCCCGTTATGGCGGGGTTCGGACGTCGGTTGGCTACTCTGCCTGTCGACAAGTGTGGAAGCCGGTGTCTACGTCCTCTGCCTTCATGACACCCATCGCTTCCAGCACGCTATTTGTCTGGACGCACGGACGGAGCCGGCGCTGATATATGACTGTGTTGAGCGGTATGCCATGCAGCTCACGAGCAGTTCTCTCCGCTTGTGCTGCTCCGCTGGCGATCCAACCAAGTTTCAGTACTTCGACGATATGCGCGTAGTGCACGGAATGGCAAAGCGGGATAGAAGCGACGGCAAGAGTCTCGGTCAGGAACAGAGGAAGAAGAGGGCTCATCGACGTAATCGTGGCTCAACCCTCTCACATGGTAATGGCCGTCGTGCAAAAGGATCCCTCAAGAAATCAACCAAAGATAGTTCATCCACAAGAAACGTAATTCATCTGAGTTATCTTCAATCTAGTGCATGTGTAAGTAACCAATGCAACACATCTACATAAGATGTGCGAGTTTCTGACTAAAAGGGATTAAACGCCTTGCATGTATATCCTGTCGACTGTAACGCAAACCCAGCGACACGAGTGTGTACCGCGGGTGCTTTGCCCGTACTACCCAGCAGGGGCCGTAGTACTTCGATTCTCCTAAATGCCACTTCTGTAGCCCTCGCAAGGCTATTCCTCGGACAACCAGAATCTGGTTGCCTACGTCAAATTGGCGTTGTGAGATAACTGCCATCTTCTTGCCCTTTCTGTCCAACTTTTTAGCAGTCCTCGTCGCTCGGGGCGCGAGGATCGATAACAGTTCCAAATGGCGCCCCTCAACGCCCCCCCACCGGATTTGGTTCGACTCGGTCTGGGGTTGCGAGAGCGGTTTCACTCCGTACATCAACTCGAACGGAGAGAACCCGTCGGACAGTCGGCGCCGACGGTACCCGTAGAGAATCTGTTTCAACGCCGATTCCCATTTAGAGGTAGCCGCGCCCTGACCTAATAGCGTCTTTCGAATTGAACGCTTGATAATCCCAACCACACGCTCGGCTTTTCCGTTGGACATGGGAGCATAGGCGAGGACCGGTTTCAATGAAATTCCGTGTTGTGCCATGAAGTTCTTCAACTCTGTCGCGCTGAAACATGTTGCGTTATATGAGACTATAGTCCGAGGGGGACCAAACGAATGGATGATATCCTCCTTCACGAACTTGACAACTTCCGCAGACGTAGCGGTCTCGGTTACCCAAGCCAGGGGCCAACCAGTCAGATGTTCGACCGCTATCAAGATGTCACTTTTTCCGTTCTTCGTGTCGGGAAGGGGTCCCGCAAAGTCTATCGAGAATGTCTCAAAGAGCTGAGAGACTGGTATCACGGCCGTGCTCTTGTACGTCGGGATGGGCCCAGCCTTTTGGCAGCCTTCACATCCACAAACGTAGGCGTAGATATCACTATGAACGCCCAGCCACCAGTACCTGTCAAGGACGAACTGCTTCGTAGCTGTAACATCCCAGTGGCCAATGTCGTCATGCAGCGACCGCAATATCTGCAGTCGAGTCCCCCGAGAAGGAATTTATTCTGTTTCCATTCTTCGTCCTACGAGACAGCCTTCCGTTCCAGGCAAAGAATCGCCTGGAGTTCTTCTTGATTCTGCACCTCTGCGCAGCATCTTGGTCGACCATCCCTTCCCCTTGGAGATAACAGTACGTGTCCCGCACATGAGGTTCCATGTCTTCCAGTATATCTCCTTTTGCAAAACCGGCAGCACATACCAGGTCCCCTCATCCTCCTCGCGCCTGCCATCGTCTTCTCGTAGACGGGAGAGAAAGTCAGGGGCACAATTCTTTGAGCAGGGGCGGTACAATATCTCGAATTCGTACTTCGCCAGGAAATCCAACCAACGGGCAAGTCTACTGTGTATGTCCTTCTTTTTGAACGCATACTGAAGCGCTTGGTGATCCGTAATCAACTTGAACTTTTGCGTTGAGAGCAAGTACACCCGAAATTTCTTTTGGGCGAAGAGCACCGCTAATGCTTCTCTCTCACAGGTAGAGTACTTCTTCTCAATCTCCGTCATCGTCCTGCTGGCGTATTGTATCGGGCGAACCTTCTTGTCTTCCTCCTTCTGAGCCAGAACTGCTCCCACTGCCACGTTGGATGCATCTGTCTCGACCACGAAGGGTTCGTCAAACTTCGGGAGCGCCAACAGCGGAGGAGACGTCACCCTCTTCTTCAAATCCTGGAAGGCGGTCCGCATCTCTTCCGTAAATTCAAATTAGACTTTGCTAGAAGTAGCAGCATGCAACGATGTAGAGACTTCTGCGAATTTAGGGATAAATCGGCGGTAATAACCCGTTAGCCCAAGGAAGCTCCGTAACTCCGTCTTGGTGCGCGGCTCGGGGGTATCCCAAATGATCGATGTCTTCTCTGGATCCACCTCAATCCCTTTCTTTCTGATGACGTGCCCCAATAGCCTGGTCTGTGATTGCGCGAAGGAACATTTCGCAAGCTTCAACTTCAATCCACTGCGAGGAATCAGCTCGAACACTTCAATTAAGTGGCGGCGCTCCCGATTCGATGACACCGGCGAGCCAACGGAGATGGGAATGCCGGACCCTCCCGCACGAAGTGTCGTTCCCATTCCTGACTGACCTCGAGGAGAGACCCGGAGAACAATCTAGGCGGGTCGGCGCAAGGAAAGAAAGTAAATCGAGGGAAACGAAATGGAAAGAAGAATGGCTTTATGGGGATGAATGGTCGAAGTGACTTGACTCCCGCGAACTTAACGGCTCGAGCCGTTGGACGCCGCTGTAGGGTCCGGTCCGTAAAGACCCAGAGGGCAATAACTGGGATAGTGGGGTAACCCTATAGGGCTACCCCACCATCCCAGTTATTATATAAGCCCAACCCCTCGAGAGGAGGCATTGCTACCTCTTTGTCGCGCCTCCAGCTCAGCTAACCGCCCTCGAGGGCAGTGGGATGATCGGCCACCAGAGTCTCACGTCCCCGATTTTCGTAAGGGTCTCGCAAAGCCGGACGCGACGTGGCCGGAAGCGCCTCGCGGAGACCACGTAGCGCGTCCCTCTCGGACCGGTACCGGTCCCGATCGGCAGTCGTTTGCTCGAGGACCCCGGTCTGGGTAGCCATGGCCTCCCGCACCCTCGATAATTCGCTGCGTACGTGGCACAGTTCGGACATGTGCGATTCACGCTGAGCGGCGATGCCGCGAGCCTCCTCACCTGGCGCTAAATACCAACTGGCGAGAGTGCTAAGCAGTCTGTCTACTTGCCACGACCGGTCGCTCGCGTCCCTGAGAGCGCGAATTAATACCGGTATGTCGCGAAGATCGTCCCGCTCGAGCGTCGAGCGACGTACCGTGGTCCAGCTCGTAACGACACGGCTCGGTGCGGAATTGAGAGGAGGAACTGGAGGGACCTGCGAGCTCACCGCCGGGCGGGGATCGCACACGGGTCCCGATAACTCGGATCGCGGGTTCGTCCCCGCGAACGGATACGCCGAGGACTCACCATCCAAATCTCGGTAACGCTTTTTCCTTGCCAATCGTGAGGCGGAGCCGACTCCGCCCCCGCCCCCAGAGGGCCTCGAGGAGAACGCCGGAGGCCCCGGCCGCGCCACAAAGGCGTCTGATCGATGGTCATATGAGAGGAAGGAAGACTGTATTCCGGTGGTAAAGTCAGTCCAGTGGTGGAGATGACGCTCTCCTTCGTCGCCGGCTCGATGCATTCATTCGAGGGCGAATGCGTACGTCCAGGGCACATTTTGGGTACTTCTTTCAAGGGGATGGAGGGGTGCGCCCGGAAGATCCCACGGGACCCTTCCCAAATGGGCCAACACTCCGACCGGTTGTACGGACACCCGCCCTTGTATGGATACTTCGTTCATGAAAGCATTTCCAAGGGCCCAGGTCCACTCCCTCTCGACGTTATGTATCAGATCGTCACGCACAGGATGCCTCGGGTCCGTGCAAGCCACCCCGAAGTGCTTCAGGACATACGGGAGTAGGGGATGGACTCCCAACGAAAGGAGGGCCTCCCTCACCACTTCGG